TTTTCAATCTAGCGAAATCTGCATCTATTTATATATTTTTGTTCTAATTTCTTCCAATAGTAAAAAATATTAAGATATGAATTCAAACAGAAACTTATTTTGATATTAAAATGGAATCTAAAATATATCATTCAAATATTCAAGGTGTTCATTCAGCAAAAGCTATTATCAACTATATTTTGAAAAATGGTGATTATATTTCAAAATATAAAATCAATAATTTATTAATTGCTCAAAAAGTGATTGAAAAAGATATTGGAGAAGGTAAACCTATAACAAACACTATGATTGCAAAAAATTATTCCAAGATATATGCAATCTATAGGAGATGATTAACAAACTGGAAAATTAAAATCGAAAAACAATATTATAAACCTCTTGGAAAGCCATTCATTGAGTTGCATTATAAAGATAAGATGTATAATAAATCAATATACAGTATTTAGAGAATTTTCCTAATGTATATTGTCTTGAAGATAATTGGTTTGATGGTTATGCAAGTAAATCAATTTTAATCATTGACAAGTTTACAGAATTACATTTGTTTCTTTTAACATTTTTAAAGTTAACATCAGTTTAACAATATAGATTAAGTGTAAAAGGTTCCAAAGAGTTAAATTATATTAAACATATAATTATTATATCTAATATTTCAGTATCTGAGTTTTATAAAAATGTTGGTTATAATCAAAAACAACTAGAATGGTGATTTGATACTATCTGGCATTATAAAAAATCTCAAGAAACTTTCTCTAAATGAAGATATAAGAAAAATTCATATTGTAATCAACATTATTGAAAGTATCTTAAACAAATCAAATATTATAACTATTTCTGTAATAATTGAAATATTATTAATAATTTAAATATTAGCAAAAAAATTTTTTATAAGAATTATGCATCAATTCATTTTAATATTAAGTTTCAAGGTGGTGTTTTGAATGATGATGATCTACCAATTGAAGATATTGTTTTACAGTTGTCAAATGAAAAATTGTCAAAACAAAAAAGAGATGAAATATTTTTTAACTCAGAATTAAGTGAATATGATTCAAATATAAAGCTATTATCCGGGTTGGCTTGACCCATATGGGTCAGAATTTTGACAGGTCACGGGTCAAAAACTGCCTTGACCCAGGTCAAACAGGTCACAGAAAGATTGTAATAAACCCATTTTTTCTGATGTAGAAAATGAATAAACTCGAATTGCGAGCAAGGTTGAAAAGTTTTTTTGATACAAAACCCAAGAAGTTCCGATTTAATGTTTATATCTCAAATATATACCAAGACTTAAAATATAAATTATCAAGCCTGACCTATGTGACTA